TCTTTGATTCTCTGATTCACTCCTCAAATGGCTGCAAGAGCCAGGTCCGGGTTTGGCTCAGGCTGGGTACCGGGAGCTACATTCAGCGGTCTCCCTCCTGGGCGTCTGGGCGTCCTCCACTGCCTTCCCAGGTACGTTAATAGAGAACGAGATGGCTAAACCTGTGTGAACCCCAACGCTCCAATGTGGGGTGCAGGCACCACAGGCTGTGGCTGAACTGCTTACCACAACACCAGTCCCAATACATTCCTTTTTTAATTTTAATTCTGGAGTTCAATCTTCTAAATTCTTATTCCTGCTTTTTAAAGTTCTTTTTGTTTTTATTGTTTCACTATCCCTTGAGTTCAGTACTCAGGTCAGCTGAATTCAATTGTTTCTCGTTTCTGGAGAAGACAGAGATGGGACAGTCCTGACCATTCACTGGGCCTTTTCCTGCAGGAGGCCATAAGTTATCAAGCACTGTCAGCCGAGGACGAATGTCTGAGGGCTCTCCAGGGAGGCGACCAGTGTGTCTGCTGGTGAAAAGGTCATGATGACAGGAAATCCTCCAGCGCCCTCAAAGAGAGTTAAAGCTGCTTTCACTTGGCAGGAATCAGAAACTGCTTAATAAGGAAATGGAGTGAATCTAAAAGAGAATTCAATTAGACAAAATGGAATGAAGACACGTTTAATTCGGGTAGAGATTTTGTTTTCCCACTGACTAGAACACAGCCTAGAATAGAGCACTTGTTTGAGTCCTTCCCGATTATAAGTGAACTGGTCTTGAACGACTGCATTGAACACTAAGGAGCTGTTAGAACTTCCATTAAGGAAAACCGAGACGGGGATCTTTCCAAGGAGCACAGCGTGAGCAGAAACAGGAGGAACACATGCATGAAGAGTAGCTTCATCTGTGTGAAGGTCATTTTCAAAAGTGATCTTATCTGAATGTTTCAGTCCAGTGGTGACATATGGAGGCCAGTAAGAACTCCCCCCCTTGAGAAGGTGGTAAGGGAGTTGAACAATCAGAATTGACTCTTCTTTTAAAAAAAAATAATAATTTGTTTTCATTTTTATCTGAAAGGCAGAAAAGATGCAGAGCTAGCAGAGGAATTCTTTTATCTCGTGGTTCACTCCTTAAACACCTTGAATGACTGAGATGAGGGCTGGGCCAGGCAGCAGCCAGCAGCCTGGAACCCAATCGAGGTCTCCCACGCGGGAGGCAAGCTCTTGATGCATCGTGCGTTGCCTCCCAGGCTGCAGGATGTGAAGTAGACACACTTGGTCCAGGCACTTTGATCTGGGATGTTGGCTGCTCTGAATGCCCACCAAGGTGGACTGTATCTTAGGTGCTTGGCTAAGTGGAGGCTCAGTGACAACGGGGACAGGGGGAGAGACAGAACACTGTAATAAGGAGATGAAATGAAGGAGGACAGATCGAAGATGCAAGTGGGAACAGAAACGACTTAGATAGGGACCTAGGGCAAATGAAGGCACAAGAATCAAAATCAAATGGTAAGATACTTAGGAACTAGATAGACTTGGTATTTAATTTTAGGTAAGACACTTGATCTTTGCAGTTGCCTTTTTCATCTGTAACATGCAGATAAGATGCATCACAGGATTGCAATATGTAGCACAAAAATAATCTTTTTGTAAAAATGTATTTATTTGATTTGAAAGCACAGTTACAGCAAGGGAAGGAGAGACAGAGAATGAGCCTTCATTTGCTGATTGCTTCCCAAAGGGCCACAAGCACCAGGACTGGGTCAGGCCAAATCCAGAACCCCCACCCACCTCCAGATCTCCCAGCACTCAGGCCTGCTTCCACTGGTTCTCCAAGTGCATTACCAGGGGGCTGATCAGAAGCAAGACCACCAGAAATCATATAGCATGACAGTGGTACCATAAGCAATGGCTTAACTACCATGCAACAGCACCAACCCAACAAAATCAGTTATTAACTAGGTTGTATAGACAGTATACCACCATGGAAATGCTTTGTCATTATTCATATGTTTCATATATATGTTTGTTTATGATAACATATGAATATATAAGGATAAGTTGGCTTCCCAGGGCTGAGTAAGACCAGAGCTTCACCCGGGTCTCCAACATGCATGTAAACACCCAAGTTCTTGGGTCACCTTACGCTGCTTTTGAAGATTTATTTATTTTTATTGTGAAGTCAGATGTACAGAGAGGAGGAGAGACAGAGAGGAAGTTCTCCCGTCCAATGATTCACTCCCCAAGTAACTGCAATGGCCAGTGCTGCACCAATCCGAAGCCAGGAGCCAGGAACTTCCTCCAGGTCTCCCACACCGGTGCAGAGTCCCAAGGCTTTGGGCCGTCCTCAACTGCTTTCCCAGGCCACAGGCAGGGAGCTGGATGGGAAGTGGGGTTGCTGGTATATGAACCAGCGTCCATAGGGGATCCTGGCGCATTCAAGGCGAGGACTTTAGCCACTAGGCCACAGCGCTGGGCCCCTTATGCTATTCTTGAAGGTATACTAGCAGGGAGCTAGATCAGAATTGGAGTAGCTGGGATTCAAACCAGGCACTGCAACATGGAATGTGAGTGTCCCAAGCAGTGGCCCAACCCAGCACAGCCCAAAGTGCTGTGCACAGTAATTAAGACTGGAATTCTAGAGGGCAGAACAGTGAAATGGTTGAATTCAGGTCATGGGATTTGAAACCCATCTATTCTTACCATTGGTTTAATGTTGGAGTCCACACCTCTGCTTTCCGTTTTCTCATCTGACAAAGGTGGAGAAGAATGCTTGAGAGTGGACGGGGGAGGGGCAGGGCGTGAAGTAATAAACGGAACACGCTGAACGCGTACCTGGTCCAGAGACACCGTGCTTGGCATGGCTGCTGCACAGGAACAGGGACCCGACATTCTCTGCTCACGCAATCGAAGAAAAGCCCATCGCTGACGCACCGCTGCAGGCTGAACTTACTGCTCTTGGAGCTCTGTTCTGGCCAGTGTTTGCCTACCAAACTTTTTGCACATGTGTTTATTCAATGCTAAGATGAAGAGTATATGAGAAAGGAAGGTGAGATCGGGTAGACTGAGGCGCCCGGAACACCACTAGCTTGGGGGAAAACAAGCTGGAACTTCAACCTGTACACTCGAACCATCGCAGCACTGTAACCATTACATCACACACCTGCCCCGTCTCACTTTTTTAAAAAATGGGAAAACTGCTGTCCACAGTGGTTATATGGCTTAAATAGAGCAGTTGGCTCTGTTAACACTTGCCTGTATTTGTAGATTCTTGGTGTTCGTTGTTGATCATAAAACACTTCACCAATATATATATATCTGTGGTAGGTCGCTGTCTTTCTTTTTCTTAACTTTGACTTATTTTCATCTTATTTGAAAGAAAGGCAGACAGACAGAAACTTTCAACAATGGGTTCACTTCCCAGATGTCTCCACCAGCCAGGCCAGAGCCAGGTTCCTGGAGTTCTATCTGGTCGCCCCCCTTGGGGACAGGGACAGCTGCTGGCTGAGGTGTGCTTTGCAGAAAGCCGCACTGGGAGCAGAGGCCCTGGGGCCTTGAGCCAGCCCCTCTGCCTTGGGACACAACATCTGCACTGGGCAACAGAGCGTGCATGGAGACTCACTGCTGTCCCTTCGTCCAGGCTGTGCCTGGCCTGAAGCTACAGCGCCAACATGGCTCTCTGTCTCTCAAGCTTTGCTTGGTCCACCACGTATCTGTCATTCCGCTGAGGGAATTCAAAATCTGAACAAACGCTTCACCGTCCGTGGAGCACGGCTGCTTCGGTAGCTCGTTGATCTGACACAGTGAAGTATGACACAACTGCATCTAAAACGTGTGCCTAGGTTAGCACATGCTTCTAGCGCGCACGGGGCCAAGTCTGCTTCGGGATTTTGAAGTGCCTATATGCCGTCACAAACCGCGCGCGTAGCTAGGCGGGCAGGGAATTCTTACAAGCTGACTTACGGAATGAAAACAAACTGAATATTAATTTCAAAGCTCAGAGGATCCATGGTTGTACACCAACTACCTGCACATACAGGAACATTTCTGGCTGCTCATGGCCTATCGCATATGTTTTACATTTAGTGTGTTGGCTGTACTTATACTTCAACGTGTATCTGCAAATTCTTTTTTAGGTCTTCTCTAGAATAAGTACAGAAAATCCCATTTATAACAATTCTGCAATATAAAGGAAACACTTTAAACAAAGGGACCTCAGTCCACTTCTTGGATTTTTTGCTTCCTCTGAATTCACTGAGAGATGCACTAGAAGTCACTTCTCCATCTCTGATTTCTGAGGCTGTGATGTGTTGGCCTGGATTGCACCACATGTAATTTTTAACAGAGCACAGATTTTTTTCATGAGTTTGTGGCTTGCCTAAGCTTCCTTTTTGAAAACCCTGCACATCTGCTGATGGAAATGAGCTCCACCGCTTTTAAAACTGTACTTTAGGAAATCACAATTTAAATGTTTTGTGGATTTGCTTCAGAACATTTGAAGCTTTACAGACAGAAACCCAGCGCAGAGTGCACCGTTTGGAGACAGAATGTAAATTGGTGTCACTTTGTAGCAGCTTCGGTCGGGGTAAAGCATTTCAGCGGCGCGTTCGGCCACAAAGCTTCGCGAATTCCTCCCGCAAAGCACAAAGGAGAAACTTCCTGTCATTGCCGGGCTTTCTGCTGCGGGACCAACATGGGCGATGCAAAGTTTAAACAGATGCAAATGGTGAGGGGAGGAGGCTTGTGTTACTTGGTTCTGCAGACCCAGATGGAGTTAAGTCAGTCTCTCCGAGCTTCCAGAGTGGACGGACGTGCACTGAAGTTCAGCACACTTGAATGGCCTGTTTCACCAATATTTGCTTATGGAAATAAAGGGGGGTGCCGGGGGAGGGGCGGGAGGGGAGGAGGGGTTTGTGGCTGGGGGAGCCTCTGACCACAGCCCAGCGCACCAGTAACCTTGTGTGATGTGATCATTAACCTTTCTGGAAGAGGCAGCTGGCAGCTCTCCGAGGTCTGTCCTTAGAATGTGAGGGAGCCGCACGGACACGGCTCGCGCTGTTCAGTGTGTTTTACTCTGAGAGCCACTGCTTCATTTGCGCGGGGCTTGGAAAAAATGAGATTCCAACGATTCTTCCTCGTGTTTTTCGTTTTTATGATGAGTCTCCTTTTTATCAACGGGCAGAGGCCAGGTAGGTTTGTTGCAAGCCTCTTGTGTTTGCCGGTGTGCGTCCCCGGGTCTCCGAGCGTAGTCATGTTTATATTGAAAGTCATGTGAGTGTGCGTGCAGTTAGCAGAACGCGGGGTGTGTGTGTGTGTGTGTGTGTGAATGTGTAGGATTTCGGAAATACGCTATCCTGTTGAGTCTATTATTGGAAATATTTTTGTAAGAAGCTGGGTTTGAAATGATAATTTTTCTAAATGTAGAGGACAGAAACAGAGATGCTGGCCTATTATACTGTTGAACAAACCTAGGTCTTGTTTTGTTTCGTTTTGTTTCAATGTAAGATGCAAAACCCAAAGTGGTTATTTAAAAAGCATGTTACTGACTGGAAGGGGTTAACTTCAGCTGAATTAAGATCACACAGAAGTCAAAATGTGACAAAATGCAGACCAAATTTCAAAACAGGCCAGTAGCGGCTGTCTCCAGGAAGGTAATTAGGTTTGCACTTAAGAACAAGATGGTACAGCTTGTACTATTGTGCCCACAGAGGGAAAAAAAAAAACCAGCGAAATCTATGGGTGGGAGCATGATACTGATGTAGCTGACACTTTTTGAAGAATAACATCAGTTGCTGTGGACTTCAGCAACAGAACCAAGTAGGCAAAATTGTAAAATGTGCTTTTGCTTCAAAATCTAACATCTAGGAAATGAAGCACTGGGAAGTTAAAAATTGAGAAAGTCGGTTTTCTGACTCAGGAAAACCACAAACCCAAGTGTAAGTACGGAGTGATAATACTGACATTCTAAAGAGTGAGGTCGTTTGCTGCATGATTGCGCTTCTCCGGTGAGAGAAGAAAATGGTGCAGCACTGATTGGAAATGCGGACCCTGACTTGGGGAGTGGGGCTGCAGCGCTGGGCACTTTCAGAAGAGGTGCTATGCCTCCTTGGACCCAAAGCAGGGAAGGCTCTGCGGCCCCTTCTCACTGTTGGCAGCAATTGCTGTTCTCAGTATTTCTACTTCCCCAGCACAGAGCACTCGCACGGGCTCCTGGACTGTAGTGGTGACCAGTTCACGGCATCAAGTCCAAGGTCTCTGAGCATTTAGGAGGTGCTCGTGGAGAAGCCACCGCACTCCTGCAAGATCTTGTTTCTTCTCTTAGGGGTACCCGCGGCCTGACTTCATGCCATCATCACCTTTGAGCAAAGTGCAGTGTGACCACAAAATACGGCATGACAGTGTTCAGATTACACAGTTCTCTGAAATTCTTCTGTTCTAATAGTTCTCTCTCTTCCTTCCTTCCGTTCAGTCAACCTGGCCATGAGAAGAAAATTTCACAGACACAACTGCCTGCAGAGGAGATGCGTGCCTCTTCACTCCCGGGTGCCCTTCCCCTGAGGTATTTCTGAAACACTTGATTTCATGGGTCTTCTGGGATGTTAAGAACAGCCTGTGGTGATGTTGGTTTCAGAGCTACACACTCACCAGTGATAGGGCGTGATGTTGGCGATTTGCTCCATAGGTTAGGAACACAGCGAGGCAGCTGAAGAAAGTGGAGGGATATTTTAATCATCGTTGAATCTGAGCGATGGTACAGGGCTTGCTAAGTACTGTGCGCCTTTGAGAACTGTGTCAGACCAGAGAGGAACGCAGTTGCTAAAGTATCTTTAAAACTGCTGAAGTCTTCAGCTGTCCTCCAGAACCAGCACCTTGCCCAGTCAGGCCACCAACTACTCCAAAGCAGAGAGACACGGCACCGGCACTGACAGCCTGGCTCCTATTGTGAAAAACTGACTTCCTGTTGGCAGCTGGCAGCCGGGCAGCCCCCAGGCTCACTAAAGTGTTGCTCCTGGTGGCTGCATCTCTCAGGTGCCTTCTTGGGCTCTTGCCTTTCTTGTCTCCACGCACTCTCACAGGCCAATGAGTTTGTACCGTAGCCATCACCAGGAATACCACTTGACTCCATTAACTTCAAAAGCTGCCCAAGTTTAAGTCATTTTGTACTAAAAACAAATGATCTGGTATTTTATTGCTGTTATTTTAAGCTCTTTAAGCCCTTGAAAAATATATCTTCCCTAAGTGGGGGAGAAAATTTTATAGAAGTAATCCTTCGGCTGGTTAACACAGTCGATCTGTAGATGTGGCCCGTTTGTTGCACCTATCATTCATTCAATCCATGCCTTTTAAACCCAGTGAAGGCCTTGGGGTAGGAGATTAAACAGAACAATCCAGTAATGAGCACTTATCAAGAAGAGTGGGCCTGTGTAACAAATGACTGCTGTCAAAAATACAAAAAATACGCTCGGTGGGGATATGCAGAGAGCTCCAGCAGGAGGGTCGAGAGAGGCCGCCTAGGAGTGGTGGCAAGCCACCCTGCCAGGGCTGCACGTACCAACGTGGCCTTTGGTGTGCATGGCTGAAGTGTTGAGCAGAGCTCGGGAGGCTCCTGGACGTTCCCAGCACACCTTCACGGACAGCACGGGGGCGGGGGGGGGGGCCGGGAGGCAAGAGAATTCCTGCCCCAACATCCCTTGTAGCACCCAGCACAGGTCCTTAGCCACAGGGCAGCCCGGCTTTCTTACAAACCATCCATCATAAAAGACTAGGATTGTGAGTACACAAGACAGCGTTTGGAAATTTAAATTCCCCAAGTTAAAGGAAATGTGGACCTATAAACCAAGCTTGTAGACCAAAGGGAAATTTAAATGAAGATTATGTAAACTACCTAGCAATAACAGTTCTTCACAGGACCTGACAGGTAGCTTCATGGAGATGCTCAGGTCACAGCAGCTTTTTTCCCAGTGTTTAGGCTAATTGTACTTTCCAGATACAGTTCTTTGATGAATGTGTTTAAGTCACCTGTTGGAATTCAGTGATTATTATAAGAACCAGTGTAAGATAAACAGTGAGATAATTTCCCCCCAAGGTCTTGCTCCATCAGCATTGTGATCTAAATGGTACCTTCTAGTTGGGCAGAAGCATCTTCTCTATGCTACAGGTACTCAGCGGGCAGGCAAACCCCTCTCGTTTCCTACCCTCTCTGTTTTCCATGTGCTTTAGATAAAAATCAGATAGGGTCAACTGAGACTGTAAAAGGGATAGGCAAGAGCAACGACTGGCTTTGAAAGTTTTCCGGATTGACCCTTCCGAGTCACTGAGCCCTGGGTTCATTCAGTAGGTATGCTGTTATCTGCACTCCGCCCCTTTTTCAGTCCGGGATTCCTCAGCATTCCCCGGGAAGCTCTTCCTGCCTGTGTGGTTGAGTTAAACAGAATCTGTGCTCCATGCAGTTCATCTTCTTGTCTTTTTGTCTTAATCAAAGCAATACCTTGGTATTGCCTTCAGTGCTCTTCAAGAGAGGAGAATGAGCGTGGGAAGAGGGGCCAGGAAATGAAATCTACAGGTTAATGGGAGAGCTGTAGAGTGGGAAATGAGGTAGGGGCTTAGGATTCTAATGACTTCCCCCTTACACAACAGCGCTCCTGTGTGCCAGTGTGCACCACAGATAAAGACATGCCTTGCTGACCCTTCCTAGCTTTCTCATGGCTGCAGCAATGCGAGGGATATTCACAAGGTGTTAAGCACAGACTGTATGGGCTTCACAAATGTTTCATGTACCAAAAAGTACACTATTTTCATTAAAAGATTCCCATGAAGTTTTAAAGGACTTTTTGTACATATTCATGGTGCAAAATTTGTTGTTGATGATATGGGAGAACGTTAGGTGAGAAGTAAAACACGACTCTGGCCCTTTCTCAGTTCCTAGAAGGTTCTGGTAAAAGTGCCTGCTGAACTTACTCTTGCTTATCATCACGTCTCGTTCTCTGCCTTCTGGCTTGTTCTCATCCACCACTGTCTAGAAGCCTGACCTCTTGCCTCCTGCCTCAGATACTGTCCAGTTCTCACCTGGACCTGCCTGATGTCAAGTTCTCTTACTTAAACTCCCGTTAGGAAGTGGAGAAAACGGAGATTCCTGAGCCACTGTGTCCCTAGTGTTCATTCACATACGCAGTTCCCGAGATGTGACTGCTTCCTCTCCCGGCTGTGCCCTTACGTCCTGGGAAAGCTCTCTGATGGCTTCCTCTCTGAATCCAGTGAGCGTGGTCGTTGTTTGTGGTTCCCATAACGCCATCCTCCCTTGTCACCATTTCGCTCTGCAAGTAATCTTTGTTGTGTCTTGGCCCGGTACAGGACAGCCTCCTTGGAATGAGCAGAGCTGTAGTACCAGCACCTTAGGCCTGCACCTGCCGTGTGTCAGTGTCCTTCCTGTATCCATGGTAACACAGCTCTCTGTCCCGACACCAGGTGCACAGTCAGGAAGGGACTTAAATAAGAGGAGCAGTTCCTCAACCTACCCAAGATACCCAATGCCTCTTTGACCTGATCTGTTTTTCTCCATAGAGTGCCATCTGGCATGCCTCTTCATTTAATGTTTAATATCTGCCTTGCTGCCTTACAGTGTAGCTTCCTTGGCAAGGGACCCTGCTTGGCACTACACTATGCTTGCTAACTACACTAAGCCCTCAGGAATTTGAGAAATGGACGAATGGACACCTGAAATGTAATATTTCAATTCCTCTCACTTGATCTTTCACCTCCTGTGGCATCGGGACTTGGAGAGTAATTTCAAAGCTACCACGGACCAGATTTGTGCTACTTACCAGGCCCTGCGCTATGAAATCCAGTTAGCATCTAATTTAACTCTCTGTGCTCGAGTTAGTCTTCCAGGCCTTTCATTTCTATCTTGAAACACTTTTAAAGCTGCCACTGGCTTTTTTTTTTTTTTTTTGCTCTTATCGCTGCTGTCTTGGGGCGGGATATAGACACCCTCCAGCATGATGTTGATATTTAATTGCTTACCCCAGCTTCCATTTTGCTCCCAGGAAGCCCATCGCTTTCTTTTGTCATCTGATTTTTCTAAATTGTAAATCCAACCATATCACATCCAGAACAAATATCCTAACTGTCCCGATAGCCTTCAAGTGAAAACTCCCGTCTTTTCTGTGGCCTCATCGTCCAGCACGGTAAGAATTAAGATTCTGTTTGGTGGTCAGCATCGTGGCACAGTGAGTTAGTTAAGTCAGTGCTGCAGTTGAGGCATCTGGTCTCAGAGCACTTGTTCAAGTGTTGGGTGTCCAGGCCTTACTGCTGCAGTCATCTGAGGAATGGATTAGCAAATGCATACCTCTCTCTTGGTGCTACTCCGCCTTTCAGACCAAATAAATAGATCTTAAAAAAAAAAAAAAAAAACAAGCAAAAAGCCAACAACCTATGTGTAAACACTGTGTTCAGAACACCTGGGATCCAGCTGTGACCCTGTCACTCGCCTCCTTGCTGAGTCACTTAGCCTAGTCTGCCCTGCATGACATGTATATAACTCTGCAACAGTTGCTTTCAAAGCAACTATTCCTGGTCTACTGCTGTTCTCCAAGCTGCACTTCTGCCTGCATTGTTCTTCTCATTGTTCTCTTTTCCTAACAACTACCTTTCATTCTTTAGAGAAAGCTTCTTGATTTTGAAGAGGCCTCTCCCCACCGTGCATTGATTTAAATTTTTGCACCAAAATAGAGCCTTGTAACTCCTGTTTCCCTGAGCTTTTTTAGAGTGCCCTGTGAGATGCCCACCCTGCTGCTCTCAGAACACTGACTGCACTCTCCAACACGGTCCCCATTCCCAACGTTAGCGGCCTCACCTCCTCCACTCCTCCATCGGCAAGCAATAAATTCTCTGAAAGCACAGGGTGTTTTATTTATCTTTGTATCTTCAGCCAAAAAAAAAAGTGCCTGAACGCAGCAGGCATTCCATAACTGTTGCTAAAAGAAATGAAGGGAAACTTTGACTTGTCCTTATAGCATTGAAGACTTAGTGCCGTCAGACCCCAACACACATTTTCTGATGTTTTCTTTTCTGGTGCTAACTGCCAGACCCAACTGCAGTTTCAGATCTGTGCTAGAGGTGTTTCCTGTTGCAGGAATTCCCTGCCTCCTCCAGGGTTCAAATTCTACTTTCTCCATGAGGTTCACTCAGATCCAATTAGCTTAAAATTATCTCTTAATATTGTGCCAACAATCGCATCATTTTTTATTAGGCTTTTTGAGACTTTTATTGCATTATACCTTATTTCTTTAGATGCTATCAGTATGAGGAAGTGAGATCTTTGAGTCTAGACAAAATTTGACCCTTAGAGCTTGGGGCACAAACATTTGCTTAGTGGGAATGCCCTGAGAGCTGCCCCAAGTACAGAGGATTCTTGTGTAAGCTGTAACATCTGCAGAACATGTTGCTTACAATTAAATAAAATATAGAAAATCCTTCTTTTCTCAATTACTCGTAGTCTAATATCTAAAGACCATGCTTGGAGAAAACTGATGTTTGCAGTTTTATAAACATATAACAGA